GCACACGAACTTGGTGGTAGCCCAACCAGAGATCCAGCTTGGTGAAGTAGGCTGCACCATACAGCTGGTCTAGGAGCTTGTCCACACGAGGCAACGGGTATGCATTCTTGATGGTGAGCTGGTTGATCGCACGAAAGTCGACACAGAGGTGTAGTCCGTTGCCGCCGGGTTTGTGGGCGAACAGGATTGGAGCGCCAAAAGGCGATGTAGACGGGCTAATCCAGCCACGGTCGAGGTAGTCCTTGGGTTGCCGGTCAAGCTCTTGGAGTTCTGCCGGTGACTTTCGGTACTCGCGTTGCTTCGGCAGTTGGGCGTCGGGGTCGAGGGGAATGCGGTGATCACCAGGGCGGGATGGTGGAGGACCACTAGGTTCAGAGAAGACAGCGGAATATCGCTCGAGGATGGACTGGAGAGGAGGCGGAGCAGGCGGTATGGAGGCGGTGGGCTGAGGTGGGGCTTCAGGATCAATTTCTGGATCATCGAGGGGACGGAGGATGCCGAGGTAGACTGGTGGCGGTTGAATGAAGGGGCCACGTTTGCGAGGATTGGAGGCGGTGGGTGGTGGTGGGCGGGCGCTGGCTTGGCGAATGCATTTCTGCATGCGGGCGGCGGAGACGAATTCGATGGTGAACGTGGAGGGAAGGGAAGGAGAGCCAGAAAGGATTGTGCTGCCTATCGTGACGGTGTTGTTCTGCCAATCGATGGTGGGGTTTTGCTGGGTTAACCAAGGCTTACCAAGGATGGCGTCGTACCCGTCAAGGTCTAAGGTGTAGGTGGTAAGCTCATGATGAGATTGGATGGAGAGGTGGACGTTGGCAAGGGCGGCGGAGGAGAGAGCGAGATGTCCGTTGGCGAGGCGGACTCGGAAGGCTTGAGACGGTGGAAGATTGGCGGGACGGAGGTGGGAGCGGTTGATAAAATCGTTGGCTATAAAGCTGCATGAGGCGCCGGAGTCGAGGAGGATTCGGGCAGGGCGTCCAGCAATGTTGGCGTCGAAGACGATAAGTGTGGAGGAGAGATCGGCGGCTGTCAGGTGGCCGATAATAGGGGGTATAGGAACCTGTGAGGTGGGTGTGTTTTCGTCGACGGGTGGTAACGGAGGTTGGCGAAGACGGTGGTGCTGCTTAAGTGCTGGACAAGGGATGGGTTGGGGGCGAGGAGGGGCAGGGGGAGGGGTACTGGAGGGAGTGGGCGGTGAGACGAGGGGAGAAGTGAAGGAGACATGCAGAGGTGGAGTGGTTATAATGGTGGGTGGCTGCGGGGTAGAGGGAGGTGAAGGTGCGGCAGCCGTGGAGGGTTGTGGGGCTGGGGGCGAGGGTGAGGAGCGGGCGATGAGACGGGCGACGTTGGAACGGGATGGCGGAGGTTGCTCCGCGGTTGGGTGTGTGAGTGGGTTCGGAGTTGAGAAGCGGTGAGTAAGTTGTCGAACAAGGGAGGTGGTGGCAGGCGGAGGCGACGAAGTAAATGAAGACGGAGGCGACGAAATAGTTGAAGACGGAGGCGACGAAGACGGAGGCGACGAAATAGTTGAAGATGGAGGCGACGAAGACGGAGGCGACGAAATAGTTGAAGACGGAGGCGACGAAGACGGAGGCGACGAAATAGTTGAAGACGGAGGCGACGAAGACGGAGGCGACGAAATAGTTGAAGACGGAGGCGACGAAATAGTTGAAGACGGAGGCGACGAAGACGGAGGGGACGTAGGCGATGAAGTAGTAAGTGGAGAAGACGATGAGGTGGTAAGAGACGGAAGCAACGAAGAAGTAATTGGTGAAGACGACGAGGTGGTAAGAGACGGAAGCGACGAAGTAATAAGTGGCGGAGACGACGAAGTAGGTAAAGCGGTGGTGGACAAAGTGGCGAGGGTGAAGGGAGTGTTGGACGGTGGATCGTATAGGACGATGAACGGCCAGGGGGAGGGTCCTGGCTTGGCGTACCTGGAAGCGTCTGAGGGGTCGCGGCGGCAGAAGATCTGCACACCCGCAGGAAAGCGGCGCACGATGGCCATGTGGTGTATGAGGAGAGCCCAGGGGGCTGTGGGACGGTCTGGCAAGACGATGATGGCGGAGGTGCAAGGGTTGGTCGTTTTGGATTCCAGGTACTGGGAGATGAAGGCGGACGGGTTCAATGTGGGCAGGACCATCCAGACACACTCGCCATCGACTTGGGCCGACAGAAAGGAGTGGGGCGGCGAGAAGAAGGGAACATTAATGCCGAAGTCGTCGCAGCAGGCGTCGATGGTGAAGGGGCCATACTGCGAGTCGAGGTCGAGAAAGATGGTGCATGAAAGCATCCAGTCGCTGTCCACCCAGTGCACTCCCGTCGTGGAGGCTGCTGCAACACGAGCACGCATACAACCTACATGGCGGGCGGGCTTACTGGCGATCTGGGTTAGGCGCGAAACATTGAACGGCGGCGGCAGCGGGGTGTCAGGCTCAGCTGACCGTTGCACAGCAGAACACACCGGCACGCTGTGGCTAACCTGTTCTGCCGGTGGTGGCTCACGGGCCACGTTAATGAGACCGTGGAGAGCCCTGAGGCAGCAAAAATCGCCCTTGCGGTTCTTCACGGCACAATGGGCGACAGTCTGCAGCGTCTTCATGCGGACCCTGCTACACACTTCACATCTTACCATGCCGTGCTCCAAGCCCTCACCCCACTGGCCCCGGTCATTCAGCACAAACTGGATGCACAGCTTGCCATGTTTGCTTTGACGCAGGGTTCCAGGCAAAACTCTCTCCAACGTTACATTGTGGAGTATAAACACTTTATGGCTGACCTGCCTTATCACCACGAGGAAGACCACGTCCTCTTCTTCGCACGAGGACTACAGGCCGACCTCAGGGAGGAGCTCTTCTCACGCCTCCACCATTTGGGTTCCTACATGCGGTTGCAGGATTTGATCGACCTCGCGCTCACCATTTCAACGGGGCGCAATGCCGCCAACCGCATCCGCCACGATGCCATTCTGCCACGACCACGTGATCATTGCCGGGACGACCCGATGGACACCGCCACCCTGGTCCGCCTACCCCAGGGTACCCGCACCATCAACGTCCCCGCCTCACTCCGCCAACAACGTCAGGACGCGGGCCGGTGCCTGCAGTGCGGCTCGGAGTCCCACGACAAGCTTTCGTGCCCGGACCTTATTCACCTGGTACGCCAGCAGTCCCACAGGCCTCCTTCACCCTTTCGTGGACGCCCCCGCCCCACCGACCGCTCGCCCTTTCGCTCCACCACCTCCCGAACTGCAAGCCGGTCTCACTCCCGCTCCACCTCCCACTCCCTGGCTCATACCGACAATTCCAACCGCCAACGTCAGGACAACGACCGTGGACGCACCTTTCCCTCCCGACCAGACAGCCCCCACCCTCACCGTGATGACCAGCACCAGAATGGCGTCGTGGCGGAATGGTGTCGTGGCAGAATGGCATCGTGGTGGATGCGGTTGGCGGCATCACACCCCGTTGAAATGGTGAGCGTGAGGTTGATCAAATCCTGCAACCGCATGTAGGAACCCAAATGGCAGAGGCGCGAGAAGAGCTCCTCCCTGAGGTCGGCCCGTAGTCCTCACGCAAAGAAGAGGACGTGGTCTTCCTCATGGCGATAAGGCAGGTTGGCCATAAGGTGTTTATACTCCGCAATGTAACATTACAGAGAGTTTTGCCCGGAACCCTGCGTCAAAGCAAACATGGCAAGCTGTGCATCCAGTTTGTGCTGAATGACCGGGGCCAGTGGGGTGAGGGCTTGGAGCACGGCATGGTAAGATGTGAAGCGTGTAGCAAGTTACAAGTTCCGCACACAAGTGCGGGTGTGTCCATAAAAGCCGGGGGGGCCATGGACGTTAAGCATGTAGCGGGGTCCGCATGAAGACACTGCCCGTCGTGCCACGAAGAACCGCAAGGGCGATTTTTGCTGCCTCAGGGCTGTCCACGGGAACACCGGCCATATCCAGGTTGTGTCGCATTAGGATGTCCCAGCCCCCGATGTCTGCACGGATATCCTTGGGATCAAAAGGGGGAAAGTCGCAGGACACATGCAAGAGGTTTGGAGTCGAGTATGGTAGCTGTGGTTGGGCGATGGTGGGGCGGGGGGCGTAGGCTTGAGAGGGTCCGGTATGGGTCTGCTGGAAGGTCGACCATGGGGCCGAGGGGAGTTCGGCCATGACGGCGCGGATGGCGGAGATGATGGTCTCCTCGAGCGAGGGGACGTTTGGTACGGCGACGGAGGTGGTGGGGACAGGGTCGACGATGGGGACGGTAGGGACGGGGTTGACCATAGGGGGGATGGGGGTGGGGTCGAGCGTGAACGGAGACGCGTGGACGTTGCCCGGGAGTTCCACGGACCGCGAACGGGAGCGGTCGCGGTTGGAGTCCGTGGGAACGAGAGCCATCGGAGGATGAGGAAGACGAAGATGACGAAGACGAAGATGACGAAGATGACCAGCGAAGCGTATAGGCAGGATCGCCTAGATCGATACCAACTGAAAGGGATAGGACTCCAGTTCTCGTTGGGATGTCACAAATGTTACAACGAGGGCCGAGCGACTTAACCCTGCTAGTACAGCACAGGATGCAATAACGATGACATAACAATCTAAACAACAGTAATCGCTTAAATAGTTATCCAGAGCCTAGCTGGCTCCCAAAAATGCCGTACATTATCTCTAATCCAACCGGGCGTCCACGAGTCGAGTTAACGACTTAACAACTAACGAGAAAACCTAACATATTGTGCTGGAATAGCGAGATGCGCGCTGGGGAAGAAGGTGGTTGGTCCGCTCCAGGAGGCTTTATGTCTCAGCGGGGTGGCCCGGCAGGTTTGCTAGTTTAAATGTTTGCCAGCCTATATGAGCGTGGTGATGCGGTGTTTGTCCTGACGACGTACTCTCTAGCTACGGCCATATGGCAGTCCGGAGACGTGCAGCGCCCAAGGCGCAGCAGCTACGGGGCAGTTGTGTGCAGCCCCGAAAGCACAATGAAAAGGCATGGATATAACCGATGAGCGCAACGTAAGTTAATTTTAAGTTAGTTTAAGTGTTTGCCAGCTGTATTGGCGCACCGTGGTTAGATGATGTCCAAATGGTAACTTGCTTGGTTGTCGTGGTCATGGCCCGAAGGAACGTCAATTTGTACCAATGCAAAGAATCATATAGTTTATTAATAAATAAGAACATAGGCGATGTTAGTAACATCAGGTTAACGCTGGTGTACAGAATTTGGCTATAACTGATTCAATATTCTCTCCAACAAACGTGGAACTTAATTCGGAAAGAAGAAAGTATTTAACCATGTCTGTCAATTCAGTCGGCACGATATCGGTGAAGTAATCTTCTATCCCGTACCACTCGATGTCGTAAATATTCTCTGGCGGGTTTAGCAGCGGTATGGCGCGCTCAAAGAGATAGCGCTGTTGTAGAGTTGGATTTCCTTTTTCAGGATGTCACCAAATACTCGGATGATCTCGTCACCTTGGTTCCTCTTAAATGGGGTATTTCAGCCTGAACAGGCAATGCATCACGCAATCGACAGGTTGATTGAATGTAATGATAAGTATGGCGGCGCAATTTCCTTTTTAAATGTGAGAGTCATTGGTAAATGCTTAAACTGTGAAATACAATAACTGTGGGCTCGTGGTCTTACCTGTAAACCACAGTTGTGGTTTGATTTTCAAGGGGCTTTTTGCCCAGAAGAATAATGCCTGGTGCATATTTGCCACGAAGGTGGATTTCATTCTTAAATGCATCCGCATTATAAGCAGCCAGCATGTCGGCTCTTGTAACCGTCTTATGTTCGGCTACTTCTTCACATCTTCCGGACTTCTGCGCTTTGCATTTTACCATGTTTTCTCTATATTATTCACATACACCGCGACAAGGCCCCGAACGCAGCGCCTCGTTTTACGACGTTCCTTCTGGATTTCTGTTAGTTTTCGGGAGTTTCGGTCCGACCCGAAATTCCCGAAGCGTTTGCCGATGTCTGCTTACGATCACTGAGTTTCCAAAGCCCCGGAAGGAGGTTGAAAGTCTGTCTGCCATGTATGGCCTCATAACTAGCAAACCCCCTTATTCTCTTTCGCAAGAATTATCCACAAAAAGTGTCATACAGAACCCGCACATTATCCTCAAGCTGGTCGCAACGTCTTAAACCGCTCACTCGTTCCCAGACCTTCACACATACGCGGCCCCCATCCTACCCAGCTCTTCCTACCCAACTCCCCCTTGCCCCGCCGGATCCATCCACGCACGCGTGCTGCTATACCGTTGGTCCACAAACCTGCGGGGTTCCTCCGCTGGCCGCCCACTCCCCTCCCTGGCCCGCCCTCTGTTTTTCTCTTTCCCGCACCTAGATTTTCACCGGAAAAAAGGTCCGACACTACGCTAGCCCACACACCCTCCACCGCACCGCCTCAACCCACTACTTAATATCCGAACCCCGGCACCGCACCCACGCTTCCCCGCTCCCGAAATCTCCTCCGATGTCCCCCCCTGCAGCTTCCTCCAGCCCTAGGGTGCTGGTCGCAAATGATCCTTTGATTTACTCAGCGTTTGGTTTGAGTCAGGCCTTGGAGACGCTGCCGCTTGTAGTGGACTACGTGACCGACATCAGGGCGGCGGCTGGTGACATCTCACGAGCTGTGAGTGCGTGTGTGTGTTGTATGTGTGTGTGTGTGTGCGTGTGTTGTATGTGTACGAGTGTGTGTACGAGTGTGATTGCACGTTGGGCGGGACCATCGACCACGTTGAATTCGCAGCGGGGATGTTTTCAAATGCGCATGTTGGTGCGCATTCGCGGCGGAGGGGAGGGGAGGTGACACTCAAATCAGCAACACCAAGGTTACGTGGTGGTAGTGGTGCTGCTGCTGATTTAGGTGGCACTACTCACTTTAATAGTGCCGAAACCTCAGCCAGGGAAACTTGTGTTGCTTTACTGCCTACTCCGGAGCGCGCCTGGGGACTGGAGGGTCGTCCCGGCCCCCCCTGGTCCCGCCGGACTGGGTACAGTACGGGTAGTCGTACAACATGAAGGACTAAGTGCATTTACAAATACATTTTTTGTGTGTCTCGTTCCGTGCACGTTGCTTCCACCCACGCGTCCAAACCTATAGATCGCCTCGGTTCTCTCTTGCTAGTGGGGGCGATAATCCTTTTCAATAGACAAACATGCAAACGTAGACACAAACAATTACACAAGCACATACAGAGGAGGGGACTGTGGCCCCTCACGCCATTCTCCTCCCGGTAGGGGGAGAGTGCTTCAGCGGTCGTTCACGTTGGGGTATACACAAACATATACACCGCCATGTAACTGATTTTGAACCAAATTTACCTTAAGCGATTTTGTGATAAGAAGAGGATGATCCTGGTAATAGACAAATGAATACTCGCCGCTCCCTATATGCGGCTTCAGTGATTTAGTTCCGTACATTGCCGCACTCATCTCACATGGCACCACTGACCAACACCCATCCAACCCTTTCCCGCACTCCTTCACTAACCACACATCGTCCCAAAATTGATGGCTGCAGAAGTACGACGTCGTCGTCTTCCCGAAGATTGTGGGCCTTGCGGACTTCAGCGACCTGTACGGCATCCTGGTTACGTTTCTGTACGATGGCGGAGCGGTCATATTGGGCCCTACTACGTACGACGTTAAGATCACAGGTGCGCGTTACGTATTAATACGGCATGCTGTACCACGGCACATCAATGGGGCGTGTATGTAGGGCACGGCATGATACGCGCCTGTGGTACTTACGTTACTAGGCCCCCATAGGTCGAGACTCTCTGCTGACGTCATGTGTACAACCCGCTCCCTCACCATGCTGATCAAGGAGCTCTTACAGATATAGCACTTAAGACTCCCTTCCCCCCCGCGTGTGTGTATGAAACCCCCCACTGGCTCCTGTCCTATACGGCTGCTCTCCCTCCCCAACGTCTGTCCACCCTCCCCCACTCGGGTTTTGTGTGTGGTGGTTACAGTGGGCTCCAGAAGACTCACGAAGAGTAGAGCCAGTGGGCCAGCTGGCCGTGCACTGCACTAGAGACGAATATACAAATTAGACAGTCACCCAGATGAGACAACTAAAGGCAACTTGTGTATTTGTTCCTTACTCCCTCTTAACTGTTCCTTAGCTTCCGGCTCCCGCTTCCCGAAACCCTTCCGGCCGTTGATGTTTCTGTGGCCACAGCTCCCCCGGACGCACACAGAGAGACAGACAGATACACACACACACACACACACACCGGCCCGGTCAGATACTTGTAACCTTCACACACACACGCGTGTCTCCCGCCTCTCATTTCTCCTCCCCCCTCGCCCCACACCGTGACCACCCCCCCACACCTTCGGCCCCTCCCCCAACAGCCGTCTTCACTCAGAGCATGGCATCCGAGGTCTCCTTCTACGGCGATGTGGGTACCGCCGTGACCATCGACTGCGGGTATGCGGCCGTGCCGGTGTATAACTCCTCCAATCGATCTGCACAATGGAACGCATCTTCAGCCGCCAATACAACTACCACCACAACCGCCAGCAGCAGCGCCGCAATCCTTCCGAGCTCCTCCTGGCCCAGTTTGCTGAGTGCGGGGCTAGCCAGCGACAATGTGAGTGTCATGTTGATGTTGAACATGGGGTTAGGGCGGTTGGGGGAAACACGCCACTCCACTCCACCGGGGTGGAGGTGGTCATGCGTGTGTGAGGAAGTAGTGGGGAGGGAAGGGGGAACGGGTGGATAATAATGCGAGTGCTGGTGGTGGTGGTGGTGGTTCGGATGGCGATGGTTGTGTACAACACTGCCGTACACAGCCCTCCCCCCGCCCTTTCTCTTTCATACATACGCACACAATCCCCCCCCTCCCTCCCCGCTCCCCGGGTGCCCTCTCGCCCCACTTCTCTGCAGCCCACTAGCTACTCGGCCAACTGCGGGCCCCTGGGCGGCTCCCTAGGGGGCGGGGTGATGTACTCGGACAGCTCGCCAATGAAGGCCACCACCGTGTTTTCGCTGCCACGTGGCTCCGGCCGCTTCTACTACGTGGGTCTAGATTTCGACAACGACCCACGGGACGGTTCCTGGGGCCAACTGCTGAGCGCCATAGCGGTGCAGGTGGGTGGCTGCCGCTGCTGGAACGCGTTGTGCTGCGGCTTTGATGGCGGGGATGGGAGGTGGGGTGAAGACGGTGGCGGTGAGGATGCGGGGATGGGGGGGAGAGGGGTTTGGGATGGGGGATGGGTTAGAGCTTCGGGTTTTAATTTGATTGCTGGGCCGCTGGGGCTGCTGTACTTCCCCTCCTTGATCCTCTGCCTTCCAGACTGGCTGTGTTGTCATTGTGCCCGGCGTGCAGTGCCGTGTGATGTGTTTTGCTATGGTTCCTCCCCCCCCTTCCCCACCCGTCCCCTTTCCCTGCCACCCCCTATTGGCAGGCCGCGTCCAATCCGCTGTCAGGCAACGGATCACCACCGTCGCCGTCACCGCCGCCGCCACCGCCGGTCACCGCACCCGAGGAACCCGGACTGTACGACATTAACGTCAACACCTCCTCATCCACTACCCAGTGGCCTCTAGGCCGCGGCCGGTTGTCGTACACCGCCGCCGGGCTGACGGCGACGTCAGCGCTGACGGCGCCGCCGAGCCCGGCGGCGTCTCGCACATTGTACCTCTGCCACGACCTGCCCGTCGTTAACGGCACCGGCGCTGCCGCCAATGGCAGTAGCAACAGCAGCGGCGGCGGTGGCGCATGGCTGGTGATTGACCTCGGCACGCGACGTCGCGTGGCTTCTGTACGGATCCAGGCGCTGGAGGCTGGGTACGACAACAGATCCACGATCCGGGGCGTTCCGGTGCGCCTTCAGGTGTGCACGTGCGCGCCTGGCTTATGGATTTCAAATCTCGGAGGTTGCAGCTCTCCCGGTAACATTTTGGAGACGTTGTAAAGGATTATGGCTGGTTTTGCGATCCATTTCATTTTCCCCGAAACCGCCCTCCCTGGTGGGTACATCCCGCCCTTTTCGCTCTCCACCCCACGCAGCAAGGAAAGACCCGGTCCGTGATTTGAATTTGAATTTATAAATCGGAGCCGTGAGAGGGAGAGAGAGAAGTGCTGATGTGGTCCGGTCCGCAACGACCCTCCCCCCCCTAGGGGATCGAGGCAACGATCTGAAGCCCGCGGGCTCAATCCTTACACTTCCCTTCAGGTTGTTAAAAGTGCCATGCCCCGTCCCCACCCCCCGTCCCACCCGTCCTCCCGGATGCCGTGGTGGTGGTGGTTGGATGTTTGGATGGTGTGTGTGGGGGGCCGTTTGTTGATGTTGTTACAGGGTGGTACAGCTTCACCAGTGGCCTCCTTCCCGAGGCAATTCCCTGCTCTCCCCTGCTAGAGGGGCACCCTAATCCATTCACCCCATCCGACTTCAGAGTGTACTCTTTGAGTTTGGCAACTCACCACCAGCATCCAACCAAACCTAGCGGATCAACGGCGCATCATCTTAATTCCTGGTCAGCTCGCAAATTGATTTTATCCCGTCCTACACCATCCATAAGATGGGGGACCGCCTCTCAATCACCCGAGAGGTCGGCGGGCGGAGTTGAACCCGGACACTTCGGGAGCAGAAGTCAGGCCTTAACCTCTGCCAGCCGCCTGCCTATATTGTATATTCGATGACCCCCCCTATGTCAGGTACGTGTGGGCGCCGTACCGCCAAATGACGTCACTGATCCCGCCGCCGTCAACGATCCGCTCTGTCCCGCCCTGGCGCACACCATCTGGGTAGGCGCCGCTGTCGCCAGCGGCAGCGCTGCCGTACAAGTCTCCTGCGGTGCCAACAACAGCCTGGTGTGACATCTTACTGCCCTTGGGTCTGTGGCTCGATGTAATACCACCACCTACTACTACTGCTACTGCTACTGCTACTGCTACTACTACTGCTGCTGCTGCTGCCGGCGGCGGCGTCGTAGGGTGTTTGGGGGGCCTGCGGAGGAGGACGTGTTGGGGCGGGCGGGTGTGGTAGGGGGAGGGAAAGGAAGGGGGAAGGGGGAGGAGAGAGAGGGAAAATCAAAGCGCCCTGTTTGTCCGTGTATATCCGAACGTATGTCGGCGTGAAAATGTTCTCATTTGTGGTTGTTGCCGAATGCTGGGGTACCCGTGTCGCAGGTGGGTCGCTATGTGAGTTTGCAGCTGCAGGACGACATCCCTGGAGCGTCCTGGGCTCGGATGTGCGGGGTGGACGTCATGGGCGTCCTGCCTGGTGGGGTGGCCGGGGGGTGGGGAAATGACATGGCGATGGAAAGGGCTCCTTTTTTGGGTTCTCCGCGTATTTGAATCTGCTGCACTGTGCTGGGAAGTAGGGAGGGGGACCTTCCTTCGGTACGGCAACACTGTACAGCGCCGTACAGTGTGGCTATGCGTGGTTTCTTCATGTGGTATTATGTTTTGTCCTACCGTACGACCCGTCCGCCGTCTCCTTTTATACCCGTCCACATAACCTCCCCCCTCCCTCCCCCCAGCGAAATATATTACTTAAAAGGAATAAATTGAGGCCGACCCGTACATTTTCGTTCCTCCAGCCAAAAATGTCCATTGCTGCCAGATTGCTCCGTAGTGTGCAGAACTTAGTATTTGCAATCATAGAATAGATATGAGGGGCCGTAAGAACGTCACGCCCGTGAGTCAACGCGGCATAGCAGCATGTATGACCGGTCCTCACATAGCCAAACACGCACAAGGCACAATGACTCGAACGTCGAACAGACAACAAAACAGCAAGATAAGCCTGGAAATTTCCTGATAAAGGCGTTCGGGATGGCGGTGCTGTTGTCGGTAATGCACTGGCGCTGTGTGTGCGGATGTTTACCCAGGACCTGTTCGACCTGGGCACGTTCCCGTTCCGTGACGCACTGAGGGAGTGGCTGGACAGCAGCAGCAGGGGCCGGAACATGATGAACCGGTAAAGTCCAAGTGTGCTGTGGTTTGCAGCCGCTGCATGCAATGAAGCGGCGGGTGACGGCCGTTGATTTGCTATGCCGTTGCTTGCTTTGGGCCTTTGCTTGGTCGATTTTACTCCCAAACAGTGCCAGAAATATCTACAAATGTGCACGAAGAGTGCATGCACGAACGAAAACGCGCCAACTCAGTGCGTGACTCTTGGTCTACGAGGGGGGTTGTAACTTATCGGGGGGGTAGGGGGGGGCCGGAGCCCCCCCCAGCACCTCACGATTAAGGAATAAATTACGACAACCTGTTGGTTTTCTGAGTGAAACGAAACCCCAAGGAGGTTTTCTGTGTATTTGCCGGGAGCGTACTCGGTTGAATGTCGTTGGTGCGTACGGCTGGACCGTACAGGGCTAGAGTAAGTCGCAGGAGTGCGACGGAAAGAGTCATTTCGCGAGTTCATACTGACAGGTTTCCGCCGCGGCTTCTGCCTAATCTACAGCATTCAGAAGCAGAGTCGCTCGGAAACCGGGCTCGCCCCCCCTCCCACGGAAGCAAGCACAAATTTCCCGCCTGCAGGTACCCCTCGGTCTGTACGACTTCTAAGCGGTAAGGCAACTACTCAAGAAAACATAGCAACTTTGTTACCTAGGTTGGAATAAATTGAGACCTGTCCTAAACGAAAACAAATCACTCCTCCCTCTCCCCCTCCCCCCCCCGCGGTCCTCCTCCATTACTGCAGTCCAACACAAGCTCTGCCAATAGAGCGCTCCTCCTACATCGCCGCCTCCAAGCCACAACCGACACCAACGACCACAACCGCCTTCTCACTGGCCCCAGTGACGTCATCGGCGCCAGCAGCAGTACGGAAGACATCTCCACGTCCCGTACCGCCGTCGGTACTGCCGCCGCCACCGCCGATGCCGCCGATGCGGTCCTCGGCGGCAGACGCGGCAAGGATATATCCCGAAGACGCTCTCTGCTCCAAACAAACTCCTCCTCTCCCTCCTCGTCGTCGTCGACATCGACGACGATGACGGGCGCCGCGTCGCTGGTTGTGGACCTTGGGCTGCCGCGGGCCGTGGAGGTAGCTGTACTGGTTATGGAGTCATCATTGTCGTACAGCGGCTCCACACTGGAGCTGAGTGGCGTGGTGGTGCGTGGGGTGGGGTGGGGTGGGGTCCAAGGATCCAAGTTTCTGGATCCTTCAGAATCTTGGATCCTGGAATGATCATGATTTGGGTCTTCGGTTCCGCCGCCGCTGCCGCCGCCGCAGATCTCTGTGTCCAACACATCCTCCGGCACGCCCGGGTCGTACTGCGTGTACGACGTCACCATTCCCCTCAGCCAATCTCGCCACGTGTACGGCTGCGGTGGCGCGTACGGGCAGTACATCGTGGCCAGCCGTACGGTGTCGTACGCGCTGCCCAATGGGACCAGCCTGGAGGTCTACCTCACCGATCCAGGCACTGAGGTAGGCTAGAGGGCTCCTTACTTAGGGAGCCGTACAGCGATGTATCACACGACAGACCCGCTTTGCGGTTTGGTGCCCTCCAGGCGCTATAGACGATGTCCTCTGTTCTCTGTTCCTCCACCACTCGGAAGCACGTTGGACAGCGCTGCCGGGACGAAAAATAGCTCCGAGACCAGCAGAAGGCAGCTGCCCACCTTAGGGGGGAGGCGGAGGACTAATAAACAAACAGGCGTGCGTCCTGTGTGCGCCCTGTGTTTGCCTTCATAAACCCTCCGCCTTTTCATTAATTCTCTGTCACCATTTTCCCCCCCTCCGGATACCGCCCTCCCTTGATCGTGATCTCCTCGATGGACTGCCCCGGCCTCCCGTTCACCCTCCCACCCCAACCCCCACACATACACACACCACGTCCCAACAGCTGCTGGTTAGCGCACATCGCACCACCAGCCAGGCTGGCGGCGTCACCACCGGCGCCGGAGGCAGCGGCAACGCCGTCAACGGCTACTACAGCCAGGCGGCACTTGACGCCGCCGCAGCCCCTGCTGCTGCTGCTGCTGGGGCCGGAGTCGTCTCCGGGCTGTTCTTCGGCAGCGCCACTGCGGTGTCACCTTCCCCTTGGTGGGCGGTAGACCTCGGGTCGGCACTGCCGCTGGCTTTCCTCGAGGTGACGGCGCACCCGGCTCCCACAGACGACCTGGGGCTGCTGGTAGGTGCTGGTGTAGGTGTTTGTGCCTGTGTGTTTTTATGGCTGTACATGACCGTACATCTTTATCATTGTGTGTAGCCTTGCTCCTTGTTTCGTACGCGTTCAGGGCCTGAAACCTCCAGCTCCCTCGCGCATTCGCCACATCATGTAACATCATGCTCGCGCAGATACTACATGCCGCACGCACTCCTGGACATGTAGTCTCAGCTCATCTGATCGACACCCACCTCGGAAACTGAAATATATTTCGTGATTTAATTGGTGATGTTAAGGGCGTCACTCACATTACCTCTTATTGCCGTACACTAGCTCGTAACAGGCACGTGTTGGTGATGGGAAAGGAGCGATGACTGTTCCCGTGTAAGATGTAGCACGTGACCACACACACGCGTGCCCCGAAACACACACACATGCATACAGGATTTCGAGATCGCGCTGACCAACTACAGCGTCGTGACCGGTACCGAGGGGATTGCCGTACTGTCCGGACTCAGCTTACCTGCCGGCGGCACGGGGCGCTATCCGCTTGGCGGCGCGGCGGCACGCCAGCTCGTCCTCCGCCAGCCCGGTGCCGTACGGTCACTGCAGCTGGCCCAGGTTGACGTTATCGCTGACCGCACCACAGCCACCGCCGGCGCCAACGTGCTCATAGGGCCCAAGCCCCTGTCGTACCCGTTGGTGTACGACATGGCTCGTACAAGTGGCTCGTACATTGACCCCGCTGTTAGCGTCGGGAACGCGACGAGCAGCGGCGAGCTTGCACCGCTGGCGGCGGATGGGTACGACAGTACGTTGGCGGCGAGCTGCGCACGGGCGGTGCCCGCAACGAGCAGCCAGTTGCCGTGGCTGCTTGTGGATTTGGGATCCAGCATGCGCGTGGATCGCGTGGATTTCCTCAAGGCGGCGGATCCGTCTTTGGCCGCTGAGCTGGAGGGCGTCGATGTCCTGTTGGGGAACAACACGGTGGGTTGTGGGTCGGAGGAGGAGGAGGAGGAGGAGATGGGGTATTTAGGGTTTGGGGATGTTCGGGTTTTAAGGCAAGGAGCGAAGGGGTAGGGGCCAAAAGGACCTCAAGGAAGGGCTCACCCCGCTCTGGCATCTTCCCAACCGTTCGCCCCGCCCCCCTCC